TCTATCTATCTATCTATCTATCTATCTATCTATCTATCTATCTATCTATCTATCATCTATCTATCCATCTGTCTACATCCAATGCTTTACTGGTGTGACAACATTGAAAGGGCAACATTAGAAACATCTAAGAACATCTAGGTTTTTAAAACTGAGCCCCATTATTCTGTTTTCCAATTTCCTATAATAAAAATTACTTTCCTGTCAAGAAAGACATTTAGAACAACACAAATTTTTATATTTTCCATAACAAGAAATTTTAAAGATTGCTCCTTCTGAACTCTGGGAAAGTTAATTGCATAGCTATGGTTGTATTTGATGCTTAGAATTATTAATCTTAGCTACCTAGATAATTATTTCACTATTTGAAATTAACTATGACTATTATATGAAAATAAATACAACCAATGAAAACCACCAAATAAGATAAAAATAGTAGCTCCTGAAACAGTGATAGAATCTACTTCTGTGTTTATCTTTAGAAATAGCACTGGCACCATCATCCTTCTCCATCATCTCTGGATGCTCTGTTAATACTGACTATGGCATTTCTTATGCACAGTCACACAAACACAGAAAAGTTATTCTTTCAAAATAAACAAGGCAGAAATGTGGTGCTGACTTTATAGAAAACTGTTCTAAATTGAAAACAAAGTTTAGCAATTTGAATAGTCTGATCAGGTTTATCAACCAGAGACAAAATGTCGGCAAAAAAGTAATAGTCTCTTAAGACATTCAAAAAACTCATCTTCCCGATGGAGCTCAAATTGAAGGGCAGAGCTTACCGGAAGTAAGTCTTCGCTACTGAAGATATAGTATGGGCATTATTAATGTCAAATGCTGTGTAATGTTTTGGGGGCTATATAAGGAAATGCACAAACATATATACGGACAAAATAGTGCAAAGAAAATAGTTTGAAAGAAAATGTCATTGAATTATGGGGTCCAAAAGTTTCAGCATGACAGCATCTTCTTTTGTTCTTCTAGAGATCATGACCTTAAAGAAAGGGTGTATGGGTTGAACTGAACTTGCTGCATCTTGGTGGGATGAAACGCTCCTTATGTATTTCTGTTACTACAATTAAATTTCCCAGTTATTTAATACAATGGCTTTGTAAATAAATGTAATAAATAGTGTGATGATGCTTTCCTATTGTTTCACTGATTGATGACATGACATTTTCTATCCTTCATACCTGTGTACTCTGGTGGGCAAAGGCATGTGTAGTTGTTCACTCCATCAACACATGTAGAATTATTTTCACAGTCATTATCTTCACAATCATCAATATTGACTTCACAGTTTTCTCCTTCAAATCCATCAGCACAAGCACACCTAAACATCAGGGAGTAAAGCCAAGACATTTTTTTGGGTGCATTTTAAAACTTTGTGGTCAAAATATTTTTAAAAAGCATAAATATACACACCAGTTACAAAGCTTTTAACTACACAAAATTGATTTTTCAAATGCTTTGAAATTATAAGGGACTAGCTAACAAACCAGAGACCATTTAAAAAGGAAAATTTATGGAGCTAAATGATGGCAAATGGATCCATCATCTTAAAAGTCAATAAATCCCAATATATTTTCAAGTACAAAGGACAAGCAATATTTCCTACACAGTCCTAGATCCTGTTTATTCTCCAGCTGGGAACAATTCATGCTCTTTGTTTATAAATAAAGAAGTACTGGCTCTGATATTTTAACTATTTTTTTTATTATTTGTGAATTTCATACATGGATATAACACTCTTTGATTGAGTCTGCCCACTTTTGTCTCCCATTTAGTTCACCCCTTATCTCCCCATCACATTTCCAATGTCATGTGTTTTCTCTTACATTGTAACTCACTGAATTCACTTGGTGCCAGTTATATGTGCATTGGTGCAGACACTTCTTCTGAAACATGGGTAGCCTTTCAAGGGCTACAACTGTCCTTGAAAGAAACTGACTCCCACTCGACCAGCAGCACTCAGTCGCCAATAGTGCCTCAGCTATGGGTAGACTTTGTTGGGAGCTGTGAACCCCCAGATCCTGAATTTCTGGTACACAACTTGTAATGCAGCTGCTCTGAGCATGCGACCCCCAGGAGTTCCTGATGGCAGGGGAGTGGTTTCTGGTGCATTTGGCTGGGGCGTGACTATCTCTACGTAAGCTGCCCCTGGACACAATAAAGGGGGCATTCTGGCATCAAGGATGACCCGTGTCTCTCTCTGTCTAAGTGCCTTTGTGTGTTTCAATCTCCAGCCCCTTGCCTGGTTCACAAATTGTATGGCAGCGCATAGAGCACAGACAGGCGTGATGCACCGCAGGACTTTATGAGCTTCTTTCCGTTTGTTCTGGGATTTTGTTTGTTCTCACCGATGTTGTGTTCAGTGGTTCAGAGCACATATTGCTATTCTAGATGCCCCAAGCTTTGTTCCCAGCACCTTCATCGAGTAGTTATAGGTAATCACCTATAACTCTGTGTTAAAATCAGACACTTCTGCCTCTCTGAGGCAACTACACTCAGGTGTGCACGCGTGCGCGCGCACACACACACACACAGATATACATATTCACATGATTAAAATTAAGTTTGAATCTGATTTTTAAAATTGTTTTATCTGCAATTCTTTGTGTAATGTCCTTGAGGGTTTGCAACAATAAATAAATGTTAGATTTGCTTTTTGTAACTATAAAATATGAACATTTTCCAAGTTACTATATGTGATCTCTACATTAACATTCTTCTTGAAACAATGGCCTCTTATTTGAAAAGGATCGTGCACATTTGTTTAGTTACGTTTGTTACTGTACGTCAGACAGAGGAGGTAACAACCAGGCTACTTACCAGAATCCATCATTCTCTCCTTCTTTTAAATGGCAAGTTCCTCCATGTTTACATGGGTTACTGATACAGGCGTGGATCGGAATATCACAGTCCTGCCCCTGGAGAAGAAACGCATGTGTTAAGTATAAATAAAACAAGCCAGCTCTTAGAACACAGAGAACAAAATAGTAGAAAGAAAACATACAATTGGAAGTGTTATCTCTCAGCTGTGGTTTGGACTTACTTTGAAACCGTATGGACAGGTGCATCGATAAAAATCGACTGGGTCATTGTTACAGGTGCCATCGTTTTTACATGGATTGGATAAACAGGGGTTACACTTGGCTTGAATAGTAACATCCGCGGGACCTACAAATGCATAGACAAACGTGAGACAGGGATGCGTTCTCTTTTGTCATCACCTAAGTTCATTTATATTCCTTAGTAGAACGGTGAGATTTGTGTAAAGTTCTCACTCAACTTCACATGATTCTCTTCTAGGATGGTACCAGAAATTAATATCATCACTTCATGCCCAGGAATGCCTAAGGAGGCCTTCGAACTCTGGGCAATATGAGACTTCTGAGTAACAATGGGACTCTGGCTTCACAGCTTAGGTCATTAGAAGCTGAAATTAATGACACCACGGTCATTATATGAATTCTTTAAGCACTGAATAGTATTTCTGAAAACTATACATAGCAATAACCTCTGTCTCAACCTCAGTTGGCTTAATAAAAATTCCAGTACTATTTTATGTATATGGCAGTATCTAGAAAATGTAGTGTCTTTTATATATCCCTTTGTATTCTTTTGAGTCATTTAGTTCATTAGTACAAGATGTGGCAGGTAATACTTCCAGTTTATCTTCTCTAGTAACAAAATTCCGCTGAAATGAACCCACCAGTCTCACATTTTGTAACACACTTTACAGACACCTTGTCATCTGTGAAAAGTCTGATTAACACAGATCAGCCCCAGAAAGTTTCTACTGTTCGCACTTTATGACCTGTGACCCAAAATGTGAAAATTAAACTGTTCTCTGCAAAGTCATGTTCCTTTAATGCTAACATATGTATGGTTTGAGAGAGGCCCGTAGTTTCCCTTTTTGCAACTTCGCTAGGCTGGCAGAACGGCAAATTAGCATCTTTACGTAGAAGGTACAATTACTTTGAAAAATGAACGTCCATCATATTTTGCCGGTAGCAATCTCTGCATGGGTCCCTATGTCACTGAAACAAGTAGTGGCCAATTCAATCCCACATTTCATTGCACAATTCCTAGCACAATAACCAGGGTATTTGCTTTGGGGACACTTGTATAGCACCCCAAAGCCATCATTAGCCTATCAGTTTGGTAACTCCTTAGGTTAACTTAACCCAACATATCTCGCATCTTTTCCTTTTTCATGCCCCCCTCCCTAGATGTGTCTCACAGCAAATGTTCTGGTCCCCCGGCTCTTATGAGACTTAAATGTATGCAGTGTGCTAAAATACATTAATTGAGAGTAGACAGTCAATCTCCTTATTTTGACTAGTTGTGACTTCCTGTCATGCTCTCCATTCCTACAGAGGGAAGCTTCTGTGATGAGCGGTGAGTGCTACCCTCATATACGTATATGAGAATAAGTACTTAGAATGCAATTATAAATTATACTTGTTTAGGTAAGCGGTAATAGTAAGTTCTTCTCTAGGTCTCATGACGTTACCAAAACTGAGGCAGTTAGCTGAATTTACAGTGCCAGGCAAGAACTTTCCCATTTTGAGTGGCCTTAAGTTCAGTAAGGTAGCTATTGGTAATCTCCAGAATATAGGTACCACTATTGCATCCTTTGGAACATCTTTTCTTGCCAGGCATTGTTTGGTTCCTTGGCATTTCAGTTAGAGAGGATGACTGATTGCTTTTCTCCGTTGACAGCTTTCATAGTCTTCCTTACATCTCCCTGATTACGCCAGTTTTGCTTCTCTCCATATTCCAATCCTTTAGGATTATTTCCCTGGCACCTTGATGGTTTCTATAAGTTTTCCTACTTATATTTCAGTATTTAAGTCATATAATCTATCTTTTACTTGATTCCAATCTGCAATTTATTTTCTTTGCCGCATATTCTCTGCATATCTTCTCCTGACACCCTCTAATCCAAGCGGAATAATAACTTGATCCTGTCTCAGGGTTACTATAGCGACTATATAGTGATCATGGAGAACAGAGGTGGAGTAATTTGATTAATAATAGTCAGTTAATGATTTAATAGTTGAAGAAACATGAGTTTGGTTTGTGAATCTGTTGTAGACCATGAATAATAGAAATAATACAGCAATGGTAAGAAGCCGTGGGTTCTCAATCTCTCTCTCTCGCTCACTCTCTCTCTCTCTCCCTCCTCCCCTTTTCTTCCCTCCCTTCCTTTCTCTTCCTTAATTTGAAGCTGTTTCCAAAGGCTATTTCCTGCCAACAAATTAGCCCCCATGAGATGTGCGCCACCGAGAAAGTCATCTCCTTTCACGGAGAAGGCTGTTTGAAAGAGGGAGGAGGCGAGTATATGCTAACCTGTTTGATTTAGATCAAGCATAGTTTAAGAAACCACTGCAGTATTGGCTATATGAGCAGAGATGTGTTTAGCTTAATAGCTTAATATTTCACAGTGAAAACGAGAAGAAAGTCTGTTAGCACTCTGTCTCTGTAACCTGCTTTAATAGAGAGACTGCTGAATTTCAACCCACTGAAGTCTGAGGGTAGACCTGCTTACAAGACTCCAACTGCTAGCTATGCACCTTCCCCTAGTGTGGCCACTACTGAGAATTCTATCTCACTTTGATTTATTACCAAAAGCTGCAGACAAAAATTTCTAACTATAATCCTAGAACCTGCCTTTATTCTCTGAACCTTTGGAAACACTAGTCCAACAACAAACTCCTGTCCAAAGTACATGAAAGAAAACTCCACATAGGGGACTTTTGATACCAGGCAATCGGACTGAAAGGAGACCTTGTTTAAAAGCAAGGCTGTATGTTATACTTGCTATTACAGAATTTCTTAAGCAATATTATCAAAGGCATATTTAGCATTCAGCAAATATTAATGGGCATCTACTTTATGTAAGATGCTAGGCTTCAGAGGATCAAATCCAGATGAAATGCCTGAGTTTCCTCAAAACCTTACAGATCAGCAGTAGAGATAGGCGCGTGCCAATGAGTGTGAAAAAATCAGGGCAATGATAGCACATGTGATGAAATGCACATTTTAAATTTGTATACACTGTTATGTCAGAAGATGTATGAAAGAAATTGAAATAGGATCATGGATTCCAGGAGGAAATTCATGGCCAGTTATTTGTTGCCATTGGTGGAAATGTATTCAGCATTTAATAAGACTTGAACTCAATAAACAGCTAAGAAAATAATCCATTACCAGAAAAATACATTAAGAAAGACTCAAAGAAAATGTAAAAGAAGAAACAGTGGCTACTTCTAACGTAGACGAGAAGAGCTAATAAAGATAATTAAAATGATGTCGCTGGATTCAGCAGGATAGACGTCATTGCTCTTGTCATATGCCCAGCATAGAAAGGAAAAAGGCATCTGATGATGGGTAATTAAAAAATCCTCTTAGCCCACTGGATTTGCTTTCTGGCTGTATATATGTGCCTTTGGCCAGGAAAGAACTTCCTGAGCCAGGATGGATTAGGATAAACAGTAAATGTTCCATGTAATTAGTGTTATCATGGAGATATGGTTATAAAATATTCAAGAATGGACTATAAATTTTAAATTCTGTATCTATCTATCTATCTATCTTTAAATAAATGCATGTTAAATCTTTCGCAGTTTCAAATGTTAAAAAGTGTAATGAAAAATTTATTTACTCTCTCTTATTTTTATGAGTGATGCCTTTTGCAGATAACTATTAATATATCCATTTTCTTCTGATGATGAACACATTTAAAAAAATCCTCCAAACTAAAGTTATTTAAAAGATAAGGTTATAATTTAGTGGCATGAGATATGAAAATGTGAAATGTTTGCGCTGGGTTTGAATAATGCTTCCAAGCTGGTCTAACCAGCAAATTTTTCATCATCTGTAGTTTAAGCTAAATTATTTAACCTTCCTTACCTTGATTCAAAACTAAGGCTAATCTTATGTAACAATTTTGTGGCACAAAGCCAGAGGCTTCAACTCAAGCTGTTCAAAATTTCTCCCCCAAAGGAAAATGTGAATCTCTCTAAGGAAACCACTACTATTTCAATGCCGTTATGGAGAGATATGTATCTTCCCTTACAATTCGAGAATGGGCAGGATTACTAATATGTAAAATTAGGTGAAGGAATGCAATAAAGCAGATTATGGTGTGATCCTAATATTTTAGGATTTAAGAAGTCCCTAATGTTACTTGTTGTTTGAGCTTTTCTACAAAAATTAACGAAGTAAAGAAGTGATGAAGATGATCCTCCTCTTTCTCTTCCACTTTGCCTGCTGCTTCATTTCCCTTCTCTTTTTCTTCTCTCTCTCTCTTCCCATGCTCCTCACACTCCTGTTTACTGGGCATTGAAACCAGGACTTCAAGCATCCTAGGCAATCCACACCAACATCCTTAGTTCTGTTTTTACAGTTTTTTTTCCTTGATAAAGGGAATCCCTATTTGTCTGAGTGCTCTGTATGTAGCTCAGGCAGCGTTGAGCTCTCCGTGCTTCAGCATTCTGAGTAAATGGGATTATACATCTGTACCTGTAAGTCCCAATATACTAATTATCTTTCGTAGTCCCCCTGTCTGGTTTGGAATTCTAGCTGTGAAACATCCATCTCAGTCCTTGTCCTTTCCACTGTGTTCTACTCTCACGTCCCCTGGCCACATTATAAACCTCCTGATGTCATTAAAATTCTGGTTATCATTAAAATCCATAATTGTTTGATCTAATTAGATATATTTATATATTTCTATCTTATACATGTATCTGTCACCTAGATTCTCTATTATTTTAGAATTAACTGTGTAAAATCACAAGCCTCATGCAAATATGAGTGTAATTATCATTTACTGGGTCCTTAACATGTTGGAATATTGCTTTATAATTGGTAGGAGCTCCAACAATATCCGTTAAATGGATAAAAGAAGATATCTTATATTTCCAGTAGAATTCTCACTGCTTCGTTCATTTGAGCTGCTAATGAATGTCTATTAAATGGAATAAGTGGATAACTTAGCTGAGTGCATAGTTAAATCTTACTAAACCAGGAGCTTTAAGGGGTATTTGAAGTTAACAATGACAATAAATCACAGTGGTTTTCTCAGTGAAAAACTAGAAATAGAAAAGGCAAAGACTCTTTTTATGACTGAAGACTACTTGATCATGCCGGCGCTAATGAGAAGAGGGCAAACATGTGCCTCATGATTTCTAACGTCTTTTTCCATCCAATACGCTCTCACTTGGTTGCTAACTAAATATGTTATGACCTCCTACTTCATCTAATTCCTATATTTTTTTTATTTCATAAAATGTGGCTTGCCATATAGGAAACATAGTGAAAATGGAGAATACATACTTTAATGAAAATCATTTACACAAAATAATAGTACAGATATTTACTTGTAGAAAAACTACACTTATACCTGACAATACAATTGTGTCTTTAAATAAAAAGTATTTGCTTTCCTGTTATAATTTGATTGCATATTGATAAGTCTTAAAACAAGAGGTTGTATTTAGCTGACTCTCATGAATAAAGTAAAAACATTTTACACTGCCATAAATAATGGGGGAGTTAATTTAAATATGAAAATATAAAATTATAAAATATTTAAGGCCACATCATTTTACTGCCTTCAAGATCATAAAGCTCACAAGACAGGACTCATGAGATTTCCGTGAGTGGATTGTTTCAATAGTAGATTAGAATGCACTGCCTTCAGCCAAACAAACCATCACTGGTGTAGAGTTCTCAACTTTGATTTCCCTGGCATACCAGTATAGCAATGCTATATGCCTATTCCTACCAGTGGTTCATGGAAAAAACCTTTCTACTGAAACTTCTAAGTGAAGCAGTAGTCAGTTCTGATGGCAGATATTCATGGTTCAAATTGTAGCCCCTTTACTTGGAATCAATCATTATAACTACAGTTTTGGTATCTCAAGTGGGAAGAGCACAGTTGTTACATAGGAATCATGGGAAGACAAAGCACTCCAGATAGAGAAAAATAACCCCAATCCAGAGAAAAGTCATTGTTATTGTTACTATTAAAGAACAAGCACCATACTAAATGAAATCATGCTTTTATTTCTGATAAAATTAGCTCATCTCTCTAGATTCTTCTTAAATATTATCCCAACTTGGGGTGTTGTCTGATGGTATGTTGTTGGTGTCTTGGAATGTTAGAGCAATGCCCTTAACTGCATAGCAATATTGGGTGTTTTCTCTGCTTAAGGCAGTGTGATTTGTACATTCCCAGTCATTTCATTTTTGTAAAATATGTGTGTGTGCACATAATTGAGAAGTGTAGAAAAGTGTTGTGTGAGTGTGCAAGTGGATAAAGGCCAGAACACAACTGCAGTTGTTGTTCCTCAAGCACTGTCCACCTTCTTTTGTGTGTGTGTATGACTGTGCACATGGTGCATGGAGGTATTTAAGTTTATGTGTGTGCATGTGCCCGTGGAGGGTGGAGGCCAGTGACCAGTGTTGCTTGTCCTTAATTACTCTGTGCCCCCCCTTTTTTTTTTTTAAAAAAAAAGACAGGTAATCCAACTGTCTTAGCTTTTCTATTGTTACAACAAAACACCATGATGAGAAAGCAAGTCTGGGGAAAAAGGATTTATTTGCCTTATACTTCCACATTGCAGTTCATCACTGAAGAACGTCAGGACAGGAACAGGGCAAACAGGGCAGGATCCTGGAAGCAGGAACTGATCCAAGGGCCAGGGTGCTGTTTACTGGCTTGCTTCCCTGGTTTGCTCAATCAGCTTTCTTATAAAGCCCAGGACTACCAGTTCAGCAATGGTACCACCTAACATGGGGTGGGCCTTCCTCCAGTGATCACTAATTGAGAAAATGCCTATAGCTGGATCTCATGGAGACATTTCCTCAACTGAGGCTCCTTCCTCTCTGATTATTGCAGCTTATGACAAGTTGACACAATCATTGAACCTGAAATTTTCTAATACACCTGGACTAGCTGATTGATGAGTTCCATAGATCTGCCTATCTCCACCTAGACAGAGCTGGGGTCATACACATGTGCCACCTTAGCAAGCATTTACTCAAATACTAAGAAGCCAAACACAGGTTCTTATGTTTATACAGCAATCATTTATCATGGAGATGCTATAGAATTTAGTGACTGGGCTATTTCTCCAGTCCTTTCCCTCTTTTCTTATCTCAGTAGCCTGGAATTAGTCAAGATACTAGGCTAGATGACTACTGAACGTTAGGGCTCCATCTCAACCATTCCAGGGATTTTAATCAAGTGCAGCTCTGTCTGTTTGGCTTTTTGTTTGTTTGCTTGTTTTATTTTGCCACACGTGTTCTAGAGAGTGAACAAGTCTTTATTCGTGCAAGGCAAACACTTGACAAGCTAAGCTACCTCGTCGGCCTTGTCCACGTGTTTAATCTTAAAATTAATTCAGGCTAGTACTAGCATGTTTATTCACACATGAGGAACCTGAGACACAGTTTGGTTATGTCATGAAATTAGGTTTTCCTAAGGTACTGGAAAACTAACCCGTTAATTTAACCAGGTAGACTGGGGTTCACAGTGAATGAGGTGATCCACTACACAGTGTTGTTTACTTCAATAAGTTTTTTTTTATGGGTAAATGATCAAGTTTTAGAAGCTTAGTTTTTTTAGAAGTGAATGAAAATGTAGAATGGATTAATCACACCACAAACTGCTCTGTATCCCATAATATCTATGCTTTATATTTTCTTACTTTACATATAGAACTTTCAATATTCTTTTCTTCTCTAGTAATGCTGAGTAGGTTTTTAGAAGTATCAACAAGTTAAGAAGAATGACAAAAATTATCAACTACATCCACATATTTGATTTTCCTGAATAGAATGATACATGAAATAATTCTAACAGTGATCATGTATAAATACTGTGACCAATACCTAGTTTTATTTCTTTTTTGCAAAAAATATTTACTAATGTTTCTATTTCTCCACTTAGATTTTCTCTTTGTACTATGAATGTTTACATTTACTATTCTCAGAATGAGAGAAGATACGATTTAGAATCTGCACAAGTGCATCAGCAAAGGGGCAAGTAAGGGAAGAGGCAGGAGCAGAAGCAAGCAAGAGGGAGTATTCACACAGGGAATCTGGTCTGGGGGAGGGATGAGTGGGGATGCCTGGCTGGAACACTGGGAGGCTTGGCTTGGTTCTGCTTACCTGGGATGAGAAAGCCACAAGGCCCTGGCAACCCTAAAAGCAGGGGAGCGGGGGCATATTCAGATAAAGCAAAAGCAAAACATTTTATTGATTAGAAACAAAGAAAGGCATTTTCAATTTGTGCATTTCTACCTACATTTTCAAGAAAATCTATCCATTCTAGTGGATTTAAGATGGATTTGAAGAGCACAGTTCATTAATTAGGAATCACAGGAAATGGCCTCCCATGTTCAAGTAGATGGGCAGAGACCATAAACCCTTTTCAACTAGACCTTTGAAGTTCACTCACAAGAGACTGCCATTTCTGTGGCAATTAACGCAGAGAGCTTTTCAAAAGAAATGCAAATACTTAAAAACCATACCTTGACATGTAAATTTTTTGGAGGGAGTTGTGAGTAACAATTTATCTGCCATTTCTCCAGGACCAGCACAGCGAGCAATTCCAGGTTCCTTATATTCCGACTTCACCCAGTCGGATAACCACTGCATGTTACAATCACAGTAAAGAGGGTTGGCTCCAATCGCTCTGGAAAAAGAACACCACAAAAGCACACATACACACACACACAAGTATGGAAGTATTGTTATTTCCTAACGGAACAGGTTCACAGTGATGCTCAGTAGAAAATCCCTATGGTTTTGTTGATGCCAACAATTTAGAAGAAAATGGCGAAACTGCGGATTACCACTTTCCTTATTTTGGTGAAGCTGAGACAAATGATGACAGTTTCTTGGGCTTTACAAGGTATCTTCATATGTGGAGAGACACGTTTACCTCGGATGTAAGTACATTCTAAGGGCAAGTTAGCACTCCTTGCATTCTCCAATTATTTACTGAGAACTCAGTTACCACGCAAGGTTCTGAGGATTCTAGTATAAACAGGGACTCATTCTTGACACCCCCCCCACAAAGAACTCTCATTTCTAAGGAACCGAAATATGGACAAACACAAGTCATCCTCAGTAGTAGCTACACAGCAGCGAAATTTAGAAGACGTCTGTAATGTGCAGGTTGGCCTCTCTGGGAGGTGACAGTGGATATGAAAGGTCTACACTATTTGGGAAAATTGATTAGATGGAAAAGGTTAGGGATGTTGCTTCAGTTAAAGGACCATCATCAAGACAAATGAAGCCCATTCTCCAGAGCTTATTTACACTTTCTCTGGTCTTCCATTTTTTGGTCTCTCTTTAGAACCCTGCATTTAGTTATACAAATAATAATCGTAATGGAGGAGACAAGAGATAGCAGCTGTCATGTCTGACATCACTATAACCTGCAGGAGCTGGGATAACCTGCTCATGTAAATAATTACCTAATTGTATTTAAAATAGCTATATGTGAGGGTAATATTAATAACAAGTTATTATCATTAATGTATGGATTATTAGCAGGTTCAGAAACTCGCCATGCTTGGACACAGGAGTTATGGTATGTAAGGCAGTTTTTAAAAACACAATTAATACCTTATGATTATTAACAGTTGTTTATAGTTTAATCATAATCTATCTCATTCATCTTTAGGAAACCCTCTAAAATATATCTGTAAAATCATAAAACCTTATATTGTAAGAATAAATGTCCAATTTGAATCAAGCATCACAATGAAGTAATTGTTTCTTTTGCCCGACACAGTTCAAATCAAAACATGAGCAGAATGGTGTTTTTGACTAATTTGTTCTCATGTCTATTGACATTTGCAAATGCTCTCCTGAATCAGAGGAGAGAGGAGAAGTGGGTGAGAAGAGTTATTAATGGCCTCGGCATGAAAGCAAAATGCATAACTGAGAAGCAAGGCTGATCAGGGACAAGAGAAAGACATTTGAACTGGATCACTGTTGTGGTGAGAGTCATCTAAAGAACTCTTTTCTCAGGTCAAGCAGTATAGCCATCTTTCACGCTGTGTGGCCTTTTCTGTTACAGGACCCTAAATCCATTTCCTCCTTTCTTTAGCATTCTCTCAGACAGTGACAACCACAGCACCCAAATAACTATGTACTCATACTGTATCTCATGAACAGAGCATTTGAGGAGTGTGCAAATTCAGGCAAAACATGATTAACTACAGGATATTATTCTTTCACTGTCTGTTTGAATTTTCTAAATATCTAATATTTTTGGAATTTGCGAATTTTACTGAGGTCATAGTCTCTTTGACACTCAGGAAAAACCAGATAAATGTGACTGCTGGATTCAAATGTAGCGTCACATGAGGAGGCTTCATTGTCTTGGACAGATCTTTTTCCTTCTAGGTTTGATATCTTAATATTACATTTAGTAACAGGGTAAAGCCATTCAACAGTGCTAACTTTTGGTTCCTGAATTTTACAATATGTATTTTTCTTTGCATACATATATACATTCGTATATATACATATATAGCCATATATATGATCCATTTCTACCTCTATTTCAAGTATAATATTCATTGCAAGTATAAATCTGAGATGAGAAATGGATTGCAGAGAGAGCATATACAAAGCAACATGTCACAAAGCACTGTCTGACTATAAAATATTGAGTAGTGTCAATGATAGCATTGCACAGCATTACTGTCAATGCGAAGTGGTATAAATGAATCTAGATTGACTGAACCAGTGTATGATTCATAGAGGAAGTGGCATGTGGGGCAAAGCTTTGGGAAGTGGAGGTGGGGAAGAATCAGAGAACAGTGAGGGAAAAAAGGACAGTGCTGCTGGGATTCTATGGTCATAGAAAGGGCGCTTTTAGCTCAGCAGAATCCACACAACTAACGGACATGGCCAGTCCAAAGGAGAAATTTAAATTACTTGGTAGGTGATAAGATATCCAATTTGTAACTCTCTGCATTTTCTTCACAGATGAAATCAAGTATGACTTATATTCCAGCAAAGGGGAGGTAGAGAACACTCCCGAACGTGATCATCAGAGAGCATCTGATCACAGCACTGCAACCATGAGCCAGGTACTCACAAGTGTGATAAGGCTGAAAGATCATTGAAGGCCCCTTCTGGGACAACAGATACATCATTTCCATGTAGAGACCTAAAAGGAAGAAAGAAAGTTCAGAAGAATATCCCTACATGTACAAAAACTTCATTTTTATTAAACGCTTAAGTCAATGGAAGAGGGTGATTTATTCTGGAAGCTAGGTTTGAACAACAGGTATCTATTAAGAAAAAAAAAACAAAACCTCAGCCCATACTTCATACCCTCCGCACAGAATAAATTTCAGATTGAAGAGTTAAATATAAAATTAAAATTAGCAATTTTTAAAAGTAAAATACACTATTTGTATAGTCATAGAGTGGGAAAAACTTTCTAAATTCTAATATAAATCTCAGAGACCGTCAAAAAGTATACTAAATATTTTATAAAATAAAATCTGTTAAAGGGCTGGCTGTGTGCAAGACCCTGGAGGGAAAATAGCAGAACCCTGAAGGAAAAAAAAAACATTTAATTCTTTAATTAACAAATGTAAAACCAATAGTAACAGAACAGATGTCTGTGCTCATAGTGAAGATTATCTAACAGGTCATGGGTAATGAAGCCATCAGGCTTCTCTAGAACACGCACCACAAATGTTCATTAAACATACATGTCAAATGCTATAGTCATTAGAAATGCTAACTGAACAGCAAGGAAACATAATTTCCAGTGTGCCAGAGAAAAGCAAAAGGATTCTTAAAACTCTACTATGAGAAGGTTACAAATGTGCTTTGAAAAGAGTACTCTATGAAACTGTGGCTGGAAAAGAGAATCTGTTAATTACTTGACCAAAATATTGTCTGGGGGACAAGTTGACAGTTCTGGAACTATCCTAACATCATGAACAGAACTGCCCTTCTAAACCACGTTTTCACGTTAGAGCATTTGTAGCAAAACGAAAATATAGATGGCTTGTTTGAGTGTTATGAGAAATAATAATAGCTTGCCATTAATCTGAATGATAGTGAGGATAGAGATAGCTAATAAAGTTGTTTTCTACAATCTAAGGAATACCCTGTACCTGGTAAATAGTTGAGAACCAACTACACACATTAGAAGAGAAACATACTAAAGTGTTAAAAGAAAGTAGCTAATAGAAGACCAAAAAAGGATTCTACTCATGTCTGCTAAGAGTTACATAGCTGTGGGATTACAGATATTAGGATATAAGGATATAATCAAAGAAAAAAGTCTGGGAAAATGCATCAAACACATACATTTCAAGGAAACGGTAATCAAGCATAATGCGATTTCTAAAGAAACTATGTTCTTTTATTTTTATCATAGTTAACTGGAGATAAATGAAATGTATGCTTTAGTCTTATAGATTATCAGTAAATGATTACCACAGCAATGAGTTTTACCAAAGAGGAGATTATACTGTATTCATCAAAGTGATTGTATAATGACATCATATAAGACAACTGTACCAATTTCAAATTTTCAGTAAAACGTAGCACATACATGACGAAATAGCCAAGAAAAACAAAGTGATGGCATCACTCAAAAGATAGCTCATAAAGATTATCCATAAAGGTGATTAAACACAGGATACTTACAGTAATCGAAGAGACTTCAATCCATCAAAGGTTCGTGGAGGGATACATCTCAGACGGTTGTAACTGAGAATTCTGAAATTGGAAACATGTCAATTTATTTAACTTGGGAACCTAATAACATACAAACTTTATTTTCAAACAAAGTCATTCAGAGACTGGCTATTTGAACAGTTTATAAATTGAACTTATTTATTCATCATTTACATTGCTCACCTATGTGTTCTAATCTTAATATGACACATTTCCTGAATGCAACCTAGAAACTTTCCCCACTGTGTACACATGCCTCACTTATTCTCTGGCTCAGATATCACACCCTGTGTGAAGGTTTGAATGATAATGGCCCCCGTAGGCCTAGAGATTTGAATAGTTGGTCACCTGAGAATGGCAGTATTTGAAAGGGTTAGGAGGTGACCTTCTTGGAAGAAGTGTCATAGGCTTTGAGGCTACAAAAAGCCCTTTCCAAACCCAAATCATCTCTCTTCCTCCTGTCTAAATATGCAGATGTGGAACCATGTCTGCCTGCATGCCACCACGCTTCCTCTCATGAGGCCAATGGACTAAACTTCTGAAACTCTAAGCAAATCCCACTTAACCTTTCATTTATAAGTTGCCATAATCATGGTGTCTCTTCACAGCAATAGGACAATGACCAAGATGCCCTGAAAGCTTAATGTAAGGATTTATCATAACAGTCATAAACTTAAATATTTCTGTGTTTTATACCAAACCAACATTCTGAGTAACTTTTCTCTTTGTGGTTTATGGAAGCTTTGTCTGATTCTCTAGATGGTATTTACACTCCAAAAGATCAGATTCTCTCTTCTTCAGCAGAACTCATCTAGTAAACCCTTCCTGCCTCACGAAGAAGTGAATATTCAGATCCACACTTTCACACTCACAAGGTGAGAAGTTGGGTCATGTTGCTGAAGCTTTGATTGGAAAGGGTGCTTATTCGGTTGTTACTTAAATCTCTAAAAGAGAAAAGAGAAGACAGTGTTTGCTATTAACTAGAATAACAAAGCATTCATTCTTAGGGTTAGAAATAAACCACCACTTGTTACAGGTCCATTAGGGCTAAGAATAAATCACCAATTGTTACTGTCCCATAAACTCTCCATTCTCTACCACAATTGACATATATGTTCACTAATACACATAATCAAATTTGCTAATTGAAACTATTCCCAAGTTCATTACAATTAAATTGTCATCATAAAAACACCCATGCTTTGGCCTTTGTCTAAACCACGGACTGAGAAGTTCCTCAATAAATATTTATTTAGTGAATATGTAAAGATGTTGAATATTGCTAACTGAATTTTTCAGAAGGTATTGTGTATTTTTACTTGAAAGATATATTTCATGGATATTATTATATTCTCTGTATGATCACATCATTCATTCACATGTCTATTTGTTGGCATACATATATGTGTGTATATATAATCATTATAGGTAGCTATTATTTCTCTTGGATCCAAGTCCAACACATGAATAAATGGAAGATCAGTAAGAGGCAAGGGTCATCTATTCTTGTATTTACTTTCCAAAATACAAGCAAAAGGTACACACATAATTGTGAAAATGATAGGAACATTATAGGAGCTTTATAATCCATATTTTGGATGTTGAAATTCTATGCCAAATTAAAAAAAGTTACATGTTGTTATAAAAGGTATTTTTATAATGGTTCAAACTGTCAACTGTCACCATAAAATTATTTCATTCACAGAAAAAGAAACAAGTTATTTTTCAAAGATAGAAATCTCAAATTAATGCATAATTAGTATTTTGAAATTTATACTCAGAATGTCAGGATCATTGTTTCATATAAAACGAAATTTAATATTTATAGTCCCTAAATTATTTTACCATGTCTCATATAAGAAAGTCAAGCAAAACATGTATTTTCAGCAAAGTTTTGACCTATTTCATTTACTATATAAAATAAAATATTCCCCACTCTCTTCATGATTTCTAACAAATATCTATAGTCTTATCAATAAATAATCCAGTTTTACTGTTTGGAAGCTTTTCTTCCTGCTGAGACGTTATTGGATTGCTGCTTCTTTGAGTAGAAATGTTTTCCCTGAGACACCGCATCACATGATTATTATTCCACAGAGATGGAGCTAGAGATCCTGAACCACAGTGATCCAGGATCCGGGTGAGTCACTGTCAGTGATTTATATTACACAAAAGGCTCTCTAAATCTTCAGCCACTTGACGTTCCCCTTTTAATGAGATAAAATAAGTTAAAGGTGGGAAAATATTCTACTCACATAAGTGTTAAATGCTTGTAGTTGGAGAGCTCCTTGGGGACCAGTGTAAACTGATTCCCATCCAGATACCTAAAAACAAGGACATAACAAGGTCGCCTTACAAAGTGACAGAGGAAAATCACAAAGCAAATGAACAATATTTACTTTGAACAGAGATGAGGCACAACTTGGCAGTATTCTCCTTGAGAGATCATATTCCAAGCTGAGATCATTATTCAAGACAAGTAAAGGGCACATCACACGGGGGTGCAATCTAGAACTCTTTGTGGCTCACTTAGGCTGATGCACAAACCTAAGGGCAGAATGTTGAGTCCAGTTCTTGGTGGTTTAGCCAGGAAAGTAAGCCAAGCATCTAGCCATTTTTGTACCAGTAAAAAGGTCCACCCAGTGACTTAAGTTTTTATGTGGCCTCCAGTTTATTTGTATTTATGTAGAGACAGCACCATAAAATTGAATAATTATTAGCTAAACCTAACTATTGAGTCTGAGTACTCTTTTCATTGCTTGTATATATACATATCTCGACATAATTGTTAAATAACATTGGACAGTTTTAAGGAGATAATTGAGAGCAATTAGACATAACTTCAAAGTAGATTTAGTGTCACATATGTACTTGGTGAGAGGGGTCTCAAGAACCTTCACAGAATACCATAAAACTTTTTAAGTACAAAAAAGAAGCATGAGAATGCAAAAGTATTTTTCAAATAAAAGTACAACTTTGCCCTTGTATTGGGGTCATAACACAGCCTAGTCACAAAGAAGTCAGTTAACTGACAGGACACAAAATAAATGGAGGTTGGGAGTTATATCCATGATGTCACAAGAAGAAGAAAAAAATCTTTTCTCAAAGCTTTACTTTCCCAGACAACAGACTCTAGATTAAGAGCCTGCAGCACTCGGGTCGTCTGCCTGCGAGGGAACTGGTAACAACTCTGGCCCTTTAGAGATGTGGCTTTTCCTGCTCCGGTGCAGTGATCAATCTTGAAGTTGAAGTTAGAATTGTCATGTTTATAGGAAAAGCCAAAAAGTTGACTGAGGTATAATATTTAAAAATATAAGTAGTTCTATAAAATACACAGGCTATACATACATGTGGTCAATGCGAGGTTACAAATCCTATTATGACTTCTGATTAAGTACTCAGATTTCTGGTACATATTTATGCACTGCTTTGCCTTGTTTCCTTAATTTTTCTAGCTGTTTTGTTTTGTTTCATTTCGGTTTTCCTACCACTAGAGGGAAGCAGTGTTCCACAAACTTCAACACTTTCCTTTTATCCCAGAAATGGAGCAGCAGGACAAAAAGACCCAGAACAATCTGCAAGTCTAAATGGACAACAGTATAATGGGAAGATACATGGCAATGATTAAAACTAATGGATACCATTTGCTTATACTTGTCCAGCAATACATTGTAATTATGCGACGTTCTTAATGATTTAGTGCAATACACACATGCACATTTTCTAATATATGGATATATATGACTGGCGAGAAGGATCTTGCTGACTTGGTATGACTCTAAGAATAATCTCTCTAGGAGGTAAAACTTGAATCCCAAGAAATGAATTAGTATTCTCCTGATCTATATAGAACAAATTTTATTTATAGAAAAGAAACTTAAACTATTTAAAAATGAGCTTTAGTGTGATGCAGACTGAAGACCCAACTTAAGTGAAGAAATACATATATAGCATAGATATGGTGACTCAAGAAATGGAGCTAAATACACCCATTAAAGAATGTTTAATGTTTTTTTGAATAAGATAAAGACAAAAGGTGAGCAAAAATGGAAGAAAAATATTTAATATCAAAGAGGATGTGAATGTCATGTTCCTCACTGGATTATTTATAGAGCTTCACTTTGCATATAGAATGCAGTCTTATAGCAATAGGGAGTAGGGAAGGGTTACGGGCAAATATCATCTGAAAAAATATTGAAACAACATTTGTGTAATTAAACACACAAAACACAATGGTTACTGCCAATTAACTCTAGTGTTTGTTAGAAAGAGAAAGAAACTGAACATTTAACATCATTTTGAACCTAAGGAACACATTTTCCCCATATGCTACGACTGTGTCTTCTTCTCTGAGTGTTCTACTTAGGACCAAAATAGGATCCATGAACTGAACATGACTTGAAAAATGAGACCCTGGCATACTGAGAGACATGCTTTTCACTTGATCTTAGCCAATAAGCAAAAACATTCTTGAACTTCGCTAGCCATGTTGCACACTGCACAGATGTTGTTGAGAGCTGATTATATGGTGTCCTTTCATGAACTTCCGTGAATGATAGGCACATATCAGCAGAAGCCACATGTAGATTTAAAACACTGATCTATGATTCTGTATAAACAAAAATTAAACAAGTATTATGTGACTCCCTTTGATTTAGATAAAACATTTTTCCATAAAATTCTCATTTAATTGTAAAGGAGTGGAATGAATTGGATGCAGTTGAATCTCTATTTTTGCATCTGATTTTCTGTTGTAGTACATTCTGAATATGTGGCTTGGATTTAGCCATAGGTCTTTGATCTGAAGGACTGACGTCCGCAGCTCTACTTAAATGGATATTGGCCATGCAACTTATATTCAGATATCAGTTATGCAAGCATGAAAAATAGTTGGCCACATGCCTTTCGTATCTAAAGGACACTGACGAGCCCAAAGAGACAATGTCGCCTTTAAAACACAAAGGTTATGCCAATTTCTTCTATTTCTAAATAATTATTTTCCTATATAGTAAATTTTGATAGGAGTCAAACGTAGAGCACACTTGAAATTGCAAATAAATATACTATGCAACACTTCCCAAACTGTAATCTATGGAACAACATTTTTTAAATGATCCATGAACAAAAATAAGAGGCTATAGGAATTCTAAGTGCAGTATTTATGTATGTTTGACTGTTCTTATTGGAGCTTAAATGCTGCAGAAAACACAACAAAGGCACCGAGCAAGCTTATTGGGACAAAGGGCAGTGTGTATAACCAGTGATCCCCAAGCTTTCCTCTGAAGTGGCCTCTGAATTACTCCTTTATAATTTTACTTTATATTCCAGTGGAGGAATGTGACCTGTAAACAGGATCCTAAAAATTCTTGTTAGATATTTATCCCCCGATATATAAAACAAGAGTTGTGTAGGAAAGAGAAAAACAAGCGAGAGAGTTAGTTTTAAAAGTCAGTTTGGCACAATTTAGAATTACCTAGGGACAAAATTTCAGCATGAGGTTTTCTAGAGCAGGTTTGTCCTAATTACATTAATTGTTGTGGGAATGACAAGCCCATCGGGGGTGGTATCATCCCCTAGATTTTGTTCCCATCCATTATGAAGTATAAAAAGGGGCTGTGCATAAATGGATATGCATACATTCATTCTCTCTACTCCTAACTGGTGATATGACCAGCTGCTTTTAGTTCTTGACTTAATTTTCCTGTAAAGATCGACTTGGAATTGTATGAAAAATAAATCTTGTTTCTTGTAACACTGGTTGTGTCACAGACTTCAATCCACGAAACAGAGAGAAAAGCAGGACAACAAGCTCTACTTACAGCTCGGTGACATCTCTTGGAATACCTTTAGGCAAGAACTTCAAGCCCTTGTTGCTACATCGGACTACTGTATCCAAGCAAGTACATTCCGAAGGACAGCGAGAGAGTGGCGAGCAACTATTGTCATCGTTTCCTACAACACCACATGGAATACAGAAAACCACAAATTTGCAGTTTCGAAGGGGCTAGAGTGGAGTTTATCCATTCATATGAATTTGACAAACACAAGGGTCTTGAGCTATACGACAACTTATGAAGAAATCACTTACAGATTGACACTATATATGCACTACTTTCTAGTTCCCAAAAGTAGAATTTCAAAAAAGCTTACGATTTAAATAACTAACACAATTTTGACAGTTACTTATTTTTTCAGTTATTTATATACTTTTAAGTAAGGATATTCCAACATAAACTGGGTTAAAAAGAAATCGCAAAGAAATGTACATAAAAGGGCAGATTTCCTTCAAAGGTTTAGGAGAACTTCATGATTATCTCATGTTAAAAATGTAGAATTCGAATCAGTTCCCTGCTCACTGGCATTAAAACAACTTGTGCCACCCACCTCATAGGAATATAATGAGCATGAAAAGCAATGGCAGAGAGCATTAGAAATGGGAGACTGACTTTTGTTGATTTGCTAGGACTTCTGTGTTACAATGATTTTTTTTTATTATGTTTTATTTTTCTCCTTTGGATATGGTAGCTTCTAAAAGACACGCTGAGGAAAATTTAAAAATAAGCTCTATAAGAATCATTTACAAGTTGGGAGCTTGGAAGTCTCCTAGAACATTTATAAACAGGCAGGAAGTAGACTTGAATGTGAAAGGGCAACCCTAAAACAAACTGCTTTGCCGTTAAGAACAAAAAAAAAAAAACAGAACAAAGCAGAACATGGCGCAGTCCTTAGGTAGGAACTGGACCGAGACATGAGGGCTGCTTGCTCTTAAGTCAGCATTCTTGCCAGACCATAAGCCCTGCTTGCTACCTTGTCCTACTGTACTAAAGGAAGTATACTCCCTCAGACAACAGAGCATGTCATTGGTCCTCTGAGTGAAGGGCTACTGACCCATGATTTGCCATGCATTTCTTACCATCATCGCAGGTGAAGTCCTGAATGGCTACATCTTGGATTGGGATTTCCTTGAGGAAGTAGGGCTTTTGGCATCGCGGATTTCCTGTTACAATCCTTTTCTTTCTGAGCCATTCTCCCAGCCATGCCAGATGACAGTTACAGTTGAAAGGATTGGCCAAAAGGTTTCTAAGCACCATATACAAACAATGCACAGTTTAGAGTTCATTTTCTTATTTTTCTAAATCCTAGGTGACCATTGCTCCACACTATTTTGGCTACAGTAATACATTTTCTTCGTCTTTGTATGTCCATTCCCCTAGATGCACACAACGACGCACAAAATATGTCATGCACATTTTTTTCCTAAATGTGTATGTCAGGAACCAAAAGACAATGCTATCTCATAAGAGAATTCTTCGAATAACTTCATGCAAAAAATAGTGAAGGCAGCCAATTTAGGGTTTATGCAGTGAATCCTGACAGATGCCATACTTAGGAATAATTTAAACATGTCAGAAATCTAACTTACTGTCATACTCTTTCATGCTGATGAAGTAGTAATTTAATATAAAGATGAAGGCTGATTACCTTATATTATTGAGTTTAACCTGACAACAGCTACTCCCTTAATTTGTCACCTCACGATTTCCATCTCTTGTTTGCTCCAGAGAATAGCTTTCTTATCTAAACTGACAACTGAGTTGATTAAATGCCAGTTACAAAAATGAATTTACTTCTACAAATCTCAATATTTTTGGCATCTCATACTTAAGCGCAAACCTATCGACAATCCCATTATTTATAAACATGCCATCTTTAATATGCGCAGATTAGTCACTCCATGTAAAATGTCACACTTCATGTGGAAAAGGGAATAAGAACTTTCCTGATGGATGGATGCTTCATTTTTTTTTTCAGTGACTTGAACAGAGCCAAACATGCTTTCGGAATTGTTCTAACTATATTTATTTCCCATTATGTTGAGCTAGGTTAGGATATTAAGAAACTGCTGTGGCCAGGATATCATCCATTATTAGAGCTGTAACAGCAAACATTGTGTTCAGAAATTGATTTACAAAAGGCCTGAAATACTTGTTAAAGGTTTATTTTTAAGTGTTTGCAGAATTCTGTTTGTAGGCCTAGAAGTATTCACAGGTTTCAAGTTGTTTACATAAAATATTATCTCAGACAGACTCAACCCGTTCCTTCTATACTTTTGCAGCCAGAGTAAATAACCTCTAGTGAATGGCTTTTACTATTGGCCTGTTCATTTTTATATACCTCTTATCATGTATAAATGATCTTTGTAGAGAATGGTTGGTTGGTAATAATTCTATCAGTTCAGTGTTTATGGTACTTATAGATGAAAATATTTATTGTTAAGGATATGAGAGAAAACCTATGACATTTACTTACAGTATTATCATGTAAGAATAATTTACAATTCTAAATCTAAGCCCCATTGTGGATCCCATTATTATAAGAACAAATAACTGAGGAATAATCATATATATTAAATTTTATCTAATAAAAGTGGTGATAATTTTAGAATAACTAAAGCAAGTTTAACATAAGTTTGTCCTTTTCAAAATTTTCAAATACTTGGTTGTGTTCTCATGGGGTATTTACTAATTCACTAAAAGAATACTAAAAAACAATAAGATTTATAATAAACCAAAACAAATCATAGATAAAGGCAGGGGTTGTCAACCTGTGGGTTGCAACCCCTTTGGCCGTCGAATGACCCTTTCACAGGGTTGCCGAAGACCATCAGAAAACATAGATCTTTACATAATGATTCATAACAGTAGCAAAATTACAGATAGGAAGTAGCAACAAAAATAATTTTATGGTTGGGGGTCACCACAACCTAAGGAACTGTATTAAAGAGTCGTAGTATTTGAAAGGTTGGGAGCCACTGGGAGAAAGGAATATTTTCTACTTACAGTGTAGATAAGGAATGGAGAGTATCAAATGCCCCTGGTGCAACTGTAGTAATTTGATTGTCATATAAAGAAAGCAGACGCACAGAGCCAAGTCCTATGAAACTCTCGTTCCCAACACAGCTTATTCGATTACTTCTCAGCATCCTGGGGGAAGGGAAAGAACACTGTTATGGAGATAAAACATCAGACATTCAATTCTGCCCCTTAGAGAATGAAAATCATTTCCTTTTGCAAACATGTAGCACTCATCACTATTTTGAATGCTTTTTTCCCTAGGAATGGGTATATTCTGGATACCATCCTGCAATAAGAGAATGCATAGAATAATCACTGCCTATATTCAGTCACAGAAAGCATGCTGAGCCTGTGTGGATTTACAGTCCCATGATGAGGGTAACATGCTTCCTTTGGATGATATAATTATGTCTGCCTGATCACATAATGTCCTAAGTCACCTGCTTGTGTCCTTGGAGCCCAGTGATTTATGGATCTAGAATAGTGTGACATTTGAGATAGAAGAAAAAGAGGGCAGAGAGAATCAATAGACACTGCAGAAGAAGAGCGCAGGGCATCTCGGGGACTTAGTGACCCACTGTCTGACAGGAGCAGAGGGAAGTAAGGGTGACTGCACATCCACAAAGCCTGCATCAGATTGTTTTATTTATGAAAAATCTGTTCATAGGTTCAAGTTCAGAACTCCCAAAAAGCATAAGTGTAATATACAGCGAAGGTTAAATAGGTTTGTCTTGAATAATCTCTTTTTTTTTGACACCGTTGTTAACAGGATTAACACTGTTACTATTTCTTTACCACTGCTAAAGCACTGGCTTAGTTCCCAATTCCTCCCTCCCTGAACTGTTTATTTGAAGGTTTTTCAAAAAGGATGAAAACCTCATACACAAATTTGTAATCACATTACGTATTATTCAGAACTCATGAAAAATTAATTTAGCCATCTTTCTATACCCACAGTAATCGCTCTGCCAATAGAATGGTAAATATAAAAGGAGAAATATAATGTGCTGGCTAGATTTATGTCAATTTGACACAAAGTAGACTCATTTGTAAAGACAAAACCTCAATTGACAAAAGCCCCTGCTATATTGGTGCATGGAAAAGCCTGTGGTGGATTTTCTTGATTGGCGATTGGTATTGGAAAGCCCACTAAAGTGGCCAATGCTCCCCTTGGGTTGGAGATCCTTGGTGCTGGAAGAAAGGAAGACTTAACGAGCAATGGTGAGAAAGCCAAGCAATGAGAACTCATTCCTGGCTTCTGCATCAGTTCCTGCCTCCAGATACCTGCCCTGAGATTCTGCTGACATCTCCCTTTGATGATGAACCATGATGTTGAAGTGTAAGAAGAAATTAAACTTTTCTTCCCTGAGTTGCGTTGGTCATTGCATTGTGTCACAACACTACAAACCCCAACTGAGACAGATGTTGAAAATGTTGTTGCTTCCAAGTTCTATGTTTGGTAATAAACCAGGAATAAGAATGTTTTCTTTCTGCTAAACTGTAGATAAGAAGAAAGATGTTGTTTTCTTATCCAGAAATCACTGAATAGTCAGAAACAAATGCACAATAGCACAGTATCCTTTGACAAGAATAATGGAGATCTGTGGTCTTAATCCTACTGGAGTTAAGAGACCCTGGGAGGAACTGAAGTAAACTCCTCTCTTGATAAAAAGTAAAAAACAAAAACAAGACAAAACCAACAAACAAACATCGCTCATGCATACGGCAAGCTTTGTCTGATGTCTCGGGATGTTTTATAACTTGCTGAAATATATACACGGATTACCAGTTAGCTGACTAGAGCAGAGGCATTAAGAGGTTTAGGGTGGAACGTAATTTCAAATGTTTAGAGCACCAAACCTCAGAGACAGTGTGGAAGAACAGATACATAGAACCAGACACATCTACTCTAGTAGTTGTTTGACTCTTGGCTGCTCCATTCTCCCTGGCACAACTGTATGGAGACTTCCTGCAGGTGCTTTATTCACAGGTTACAGCATAAACAGCAGGAGCCCATCAGTGGAAATAAGACGGAGAGAGCTGATTTCAAAGATCTCCCAGGCCGTGTCCTTTGACTGTATCTCGTAGAAGCAAATGCTTGACATGTTGTTAGGGTAATACTGTTGACTGAACTGTGACTCCCCTAATTCCTACCTTAAAGCTTTTATCACCAATAGGACTGCTTTTAGAGAAGGTCTTCCCAGTTTTATAAGCCTATACATAAAAAGAAGACACGGCGGAGATCTCACCCATCTCCCTCACTCTCCCTTTCTCTGCCTGAGAATGCAGATGAAGGTCATGTGTGTTTATGGCAAGAAACTGGCCAAGAAGGAAGCCTGGGCCTAGACAGAGGGTTGAAACACAAATTCACCTCCATAGTGAATGTCTACGTCCAGAAGCATATAAAGTATGTGTGGAGTATTCCCACTGTGGCAGCATAGATGGGCTAAAATGGGTGATGTTCTAATCTATACCCCCTACATTCTCCGTAGTACTGGTGTGTGAAAGAAGGATAACATTAACAATACATGAGCACTCAACTTCTGTGTAAGAAGGGAGGTAATGCCATTTGTTTAGTAATCTGAAATAGCCTAAGGAAGTGCAGATGCAGGCCTGATGGTGCATTTTCTTGGCTATCCTTTAACACACTCTCAGTATATGTCCCACAAACACACTTAGCAACTGTTTGCATACCATTTTAGATTGGTTCAAAACTGGTCCCTGAGAGAGGTCTGTGATTGACATGCTGGCCATGCTGGATTATTGGATTCCAGGATAGCTGTTCAAAGTTACAGTATGTATCTATTCCCATGTGCAGGGGATACACACACACACACACACACACACACACACACACACACACACACACTATACCTAAATTTGGGGCTATATTAACACATCCCACTGACTAGAGGAAAACACCCTTTCCCCTCCTCCTGTCTTAAGGAACAGGGGACCTCCTACTTTCCCATCATACATGGATTTCAGGGTCAGGTGAGATGCCGTCGCTGGAGCTTATGTTTACTCTACTGCCAAAGGCTGCTTCTTGGTTGCAAAGAGATTCTTTTATGTGCTCTGACAATGGCTGTAGAATTTGGTTTTGCTCTCTTCTGATTTATGAGTTACTACTTTTGGCAAACACTATTTGCAAAGACGCCCCGAAATAATTCAATAAGACAAACTGTTGCATTTACTGTTTGATCTAAGTCTCATCTTCTCTACATAAACAAATTTTGTTAGACATAAAGAATTTATTCCTTCCAAACTCCCTATCATTAGCCAAGTGGACAAAACCCTTAGCATGTTTTCTTAGCAATAGATAGTGAAAGATTTATCACAACCATTGCCTCTTTTCTACTGATGCATTACAGGGACAGATAAATGTATCCTCTGGGTGAACACAGTTCTTCTGTTTAAATGTTGTGTCTGAAAGTTTGAGTCACTGGGCTAGGAGGAAAGTAGATCTCACCTGTCTCCGCAGACGATAATGAGCAACGAAGTCTAAGCCAGTTTAATGTGAATCAGAAATACTTACAGTGTTTTGAGGCTTTCCAATCCCTTGAACATCTTATGCTGAACATTTTCCAAACGGTTACTGGTGAGAAGAATTTCATTCACACCAGATGCTCCTTCAAATGCTCCCTCCTCGATATCGGTGATCTTATTGTTGCTAAAGTTGCTAGATAAACAGTGTGAGACACGGATTTAAATGCCTGCTCACTAACACAAGACGCTCCCCCCCAAAAAATATATATCTGGTCATTTTCAATCTACTGAATAAACATCCAAGTCTTCCAGTTTGTAAGACTTTTCACTGCAAGAGTTATAGAAGCGTGTCGGTGTTTCTCTAATCCATGAAGCCAGAAAAAGAGTAACACTAAGAGAGAATAACCATTAAAGCAAAATAAAGCCTAATTTTACTCAAAATGAACTGCGATGATTCCCAGAAGTCTAAAATTATTAAAGCCAATTATTTGGTTATGTAAAGATCTTATGTGGCCCAGTAGGCTGGCCTTACTGGCCACCAGGTTCCAGGAACCCAATTGTTACTATCTCTCCAGCACTGGGATAATAGGCCACTATATTTGGATTTCCTTACCTGAGGATCAAAGCCATCTCTTTGTGTTTATAAGACCAACACTTTACCAATGGAGAAATCCTGTTACTTTGTTTTGGGATTTTCTATGCTTATAAAGCACTGCTCAGGAAAGACCTGTAACACTGAACCTCTTATTGCTAAAAAGACAGTAGGGTTAGTGGCGTGAAGGAAAATCATTAAGAAATCAGAAGACGTTCTCAAGGGAGCCTAACATAGAGAAGGACATCGGCATAGGTTTGGTCCTCTTTGCTCCAAACAGTGTCAGTGACTGGGGAGCTCTTTCTGTGAGACTGAGGGTGGTAAGTGGTGTGGGATGATGCATCTGCTTCCTCCTCATGCATTCCTGGGTCCTTGCACACTGGACACTTGTCTGACTTCTCCCTTTACTCAAGGGCATGGGACAGTGATGGAATGTTGATGAAAATGCTGAGCTTAAGAATTCACACTGAAATATGAGCTGTGGCCATGAAGTAACACAGATGAGCAGTCTGGCCAGTTTACTAATCATTAATTTTGACTATCTCATAATGAAAGCTTAATGAAGCAAAAGTCAAACAGTTGCCGTGGATGTGCTGAAAGAGAACCGGCACCACGGTTTGGAGAACACTAAAGGCAGTTACAAAACATCGCTGAATCCATCTTAATGCGCTTAGATTGCTGGATTCCTGCTGCGGATGCATTTTAGACCAACTGTCTGCTCTAGAGGAAGTTGCTAAGGGTTGGCTTAGCATCATGTGAACACATGGGAAAGTGCCTTTTAAACAGTACCCTAAGTTCATGCCCTGTGCAGTCGTCACATGGAAATTTCCCTGGACTTCTCTTTTTTAAAAAATACATTTTCCTGTTTCAAAAGACACTTGGATAAAATGGGAAGAGATGTAAAATTTACAAGAGAAACACACTGCAGACAGTCTATAAATAGCTAACAAATGACTTACATTTTACGTAACTGAGGAAGTTTCTTAAATATCCCTGTAGCTTCTAACACTGTAAATTCGTTATTATTGAGCCGCCTGGGGAAAGAACCAAAAAGAAGATAAAGGCTTTCTCATTGGTAAAAAGGGTTTAGCTTGTATCTGTCACATTAAGTTATTACATCTTTTAATGATAGCTTTGAAATACAGCACAGATAGAACTGGGAATTTATAAAATTTAGTTATGCTTCTATCATTTCATCAAAAATTTCAAAAACAAAAAATTGTTAAATATTAAACAAGTCAAAGAATAATCCTAACCAGCTCATATGCAGGAATCTCCATACCAAAGTCTCTAGGCCTTGTTTCTTCACAAGTACTTGCTTCCTAGCCTAATCATTCATAGATCAATTAATACACAATTCAGATACTATAAAATACCTAAAGTATAGCATTTCAGTGTATTTGTAATATTGCAAGCCAGGTTAAAGGATTCATGCATGTAGTCTCAGTACTCAGGAGGCAAAGATGGAGGACCAGAGCAAGTCCAAGGCCAGTGTAGTCAACCTGGTGAACCCCATCTCCAGGCAGTCAGGGAGTCAACTCCATCTCAAACAAAAACATAAACAACTGTCTCAAATAAAAACAAACAAAACCCAGCACAACAGTCTTTACTAGTTCCGTATACCTTTCATTATCCAAAAAGCACTCCAAAATCAATACCTTTCATTGGCAATTCACTCTTATTATGACACAGCCATCTTTCTATTACCATCCCTTGTTTGTGCCACACAAACCATGCTTTCTTATTCTGGACATTTCATTTAATTGGAATCTCACAGATTATACCTTTTGCTTCATCTTGTAGGATGTTCTGCAGATTTTGTTCTATTTCCTATTAGATAATTCCATCTGGGCATGTGTATCGACTTACTGGTAGCTAAATAAGTGTAGGTGCCCATAGGGGCCAGAAGATGGAACTGAACCCCTGAAGCTGTGTTGCAGGTGATTGTGAGCCAGCTGTCACGCATGATGGAACTTGACCTTGAGTCTTGTAGGAGCCACATGCTTTGTTCTCTTAAAAAGCCGAACCACCTCTCTGGCCTCTTTAGGATGTTTAATTTTGATTTATGTTATGGTATTTTTGGTATTTTATTGCTTTTCATAACTGAGTAACAAAATGGGCACCCCACATTCATTCAGCCATTAATCAGTTGGCGGACACTTCTTCAACTTTGTATTTTGTCTACTATGAAAATGCTATGCTGAACATGGTATGCGGGTTTTTGTGAGGGCGTACCTTTTAAATTATTTTACTATATATACAAAGAAGTAGCTTTTGTTGGATCCTATGGTAGACCAATGCATGCTACATTGAAGAACAAACTGTTTTTCCATGTCTATACTATTTTACACTTAAAATCCCAATGTATATTTTTCTTCCCTATATCATTGTCTTTCCCCCTCCCCCTCCAGATTTTTTATGTGAGGGCAGTAAGAAATTTCTCCCATAGGCTCACATGTTTGAACACTTGGTCTCAAGTTGATGGTGCAATTTGAGGAAGTCCAGTCATGCTGGGGGAAGTGTATCACTGGGGGCAGATTTTAAGTGTCTGTAGCCTCACCTCACCTTCTGTGTGTCTACGATACGTGTCCTATCAAGCACGTTCCTGCTTCTGTTACCTGGTGCTGTTATTTCTGCTTCGTGATGAGCTCTCATTCAAGAAAGCTAAATAAAAATACTCCCTTCTAAAGACTGCTTTTGGTCACGGCATTTATATGTTGTGCAAGCGATGTACACAGAAATATAAAACTTGAACAAGAGAGGAAAACAACACGGCATCAGAAAAGTAACTCATATAGAAATTTGTATTGAGAATTTGGGTTGTTGCTATGAAGAACACGGCAGTGTAAATGTTCTGAAGATAATTTGGAAGAATTTGGACCTCTGGATTAGCTCTTAAGTCTAGAGAGGGAGGGAGAGGTGGAGAGGGGGAGGGAAAAGGGAGGTGGGGAGGAGGTGGAAATTTTTAATAAATAAATTAATTAATTAAATTAAAAAGAAAAAAAGGAAAAAAAGAAAAGTAGTTGACTGTTACAGGCAGAGCTTAAGCAACCATTCTATAAGAATATGGAAGCATGCAATCCTGGGAGTAATGCAGAAATTTTAGATTCATCCTTAGCAAAAATGGAAACAAAAACTTCATCTCCATCAATTACAGTTCAAAGGTCATTTGTATGATAATTTGGAATTTGTATGACATTTGGCTTCATTCTGTACATGTCCTAAGAACGTACTTAAGACTAAATTAAAAAGTAATGAATTAATTTCTTTGATAGCATGATTTCAAGACAGCCTAACCATCTCTAGAATGCCTAGTACTGATTACTTTTACGCATATCTATCATCATAAAGAGCCAAGTGGCGCACAAAGAAATCTGAGACTTGAGGCATGGAGTGAAAAACAGCACAAGAAATCTTCCACTTGTCCCCAAAGTACAGGCTGCAAAGGAAGCTGTAATCGTTAAGGAGCTTAATGGCCTCTTCCTCTCCACTGGGTCAGAGAGTCCTTCTCAGGGGAAGACCATGCTCAGCTTTAATATGCAAAGTGGAAGAGCTTAAGGAATTCCTTGCTCTTAGAAAGCAACAACATATAAAAGCAGCTAATACCAAGGACAAAAACGTCTATGCAAAGCTGTCATCTAAATTTGGCATTATCATCAACATGGTAGCAGTTTTGAAGACACAGATGTCACACAGACATGTGAGATCTTCCTGTATGGATACAAAGTAGTAATGAAGTGTGGCAATCAGGACAGAGGTGGAGTCCCTGTCCAGAAGCCCTGAGCAGACACTGAATAAAGCCTATGTTGTCCTGAAGATTTCCAGTGTTGCAGACACCAGAATCATGAGACATTTGCCAAGGAGAGCTGCACACAGGAAGTGGAACCAGCCCCAGAGGGAAATGTATAACATAGGGAGTAAATCTGCAAGGAGGAAGCCATCCAAATCCTTAGAAATGGAAGCCTCAGATTCTAGATGTGGAACTTCAGGCTTTGATGTTTGCCGTGTTGGCTTATAGTCTTGCTTTGGTCCAATATTTACTCAGTATACCCCATTCCTCCTTTTTGAGTTGCAGAATATATAATATGTGCCATGGTAGGTGGGATGCATTTTTTTAAGGTTTACTGGGAACAACTATTACTTTCAGTCTCAAAACGGACATTATACTTTTGAACAGTGTTGAGACTGTTAAAGATCAGGGGTACTTTTGATGTTGGATGATGTGTATTTTGAATCATGAGATGGCAGTGAGCCTATGCAAATCAGGATGAGTAATTTGACTCATTGAAAGAAAAATAATTTCTAGAGTTTCATTCACATATTTAGAACATTTGGTCCCCAGTTGATAGAACTGCCTGGGAAGGCTATAGAATTTTTAGGAGTCATCTCTAAAGGAAGTATGTCATGAGCTTTAAGAGTATAAAACCTTACACTTTTTCTTCAATCTTTACTTCTATTTGTTTATTAAATGTGTTCAGACAGCTCCATTCCTTTCTTGCTGCTGTGGGTTCTTCTGAAACAGTAAACTCTTTATTCTAAAAGTTGCTATTTTTAATGCTATTTTATCACAGCAGTGGTGTAGGAGTTCCTTCTGGATTTGTGTTGCTTTCATTGGTTATTAAAGAAGCTGTCTTGACCTAGTTGATAGGGCAGAACTTAGATAGGCAGGGAGATAGAACTGAATTCTGGGAGGAAGAAGGCAGTGTGGCAGATGCCATGATTTTCCTGCCCAAGAAGGACATTGGTTAGACTCATGCTTGTAAGCCACAGTCAAGTGGTGATACACATTAATAGAAATGGGTTAAATCAAGATGTGAGAGTTAGCCAATAAGAGGCTAGAGATAATAGGCCTGGCAGTAATTTAAATAATACAATTTCTGTGTGGTTATTTCAGGGGTTAAACTAGCTGGGTGGCGGGATGCGACCCGTTTCTCCTACAATACAGCAGCAAAAAAAAACAGTTTTGCATTTTAAAATTTATTTATTTTTTTAAATATGGATGCTCTATTGTCATGGTCACCTGTATGGCAGAAAAGGGCATCAGATCCCATTACAGATGCCTGTGAGCCACATGTGGTTCCTGGGAACTTAACTCAGGATCTCTGGAAGAGTAGCCTGTGCTGTTACCCACTTAACCATCTCACTAGCCCCAGTTTTGCATTTTATAATGACCTTTATTTCATATGGTTATTGGTCAATCATATATCTTCATTGAAAAAATGTTTACATGGATAACTTGACCATTTGATAGGCAACAAAGGCTTTATATTGTTGATTTTGAAATATTTTTAATATATTCTGGATATAAATTCACTGTGAGTATATGACTAGTAAAAATTCTGAATCTAAATCCTTTATTAGGTGCATGTTTTGCCAACATTTTTCTCTTAAATATTTATTTTATGTGCATTATTTGAAAAGTTATTAAACTTTTAAAACAATTTTTTCTGAGTCTTACCTTACAAACTAGATTGTAATAGAATTATAGATTAGAGAATAACTTATTTAATTCATTATCATGCTTAACATATTATCATTTGCATGCAATATTACGAGAAATAAATAGAAGTCTACACATAGCCACACAAAATGATAATTCCTGAATCTTGCTACATGTTCTCTGACATTCTTAAAATTGTTGAGCTAGTAACTATACCATGAAATAGTGGGGGTTAAAAAAAAAATCACCAGAACCACAAAGAAATTAGATTGTGTCAACCATTTGAAAGACATTGTTTCTAATTATTCAAATTGATTTAAATTCATTAAGTAACAGGCATGCGTATGGATGCAGTGTGGCCGAAATGATAACATACAGTCCTAGCAATCAAGGGGCGGCAATCTAGTTGCAGACAGAAGGCTTATGCATACACACAGACAAGCAACTTTGAAAAGCAATAAATGACAAATACCAGATGGTGCCATAAATAAACAGAGCTAAGATGTTCAGAAAGCAGATTTCCCTATTGTCTTCATGGGTCTTGGAAAACTTACATTGTGCAGCTTCCTTTTATAACCAGGAAAGATGAGTTACACATGGGCAGAGATTCTATAATTAATTCCAAAATTACACTTTTTCATACCCTGGATCCTATGCTAAATTTGTCAATATAAATTTGATCATGTCTGAGATTTTAGCTTTCCCTGATCTGTTAGTCACTGTTTATAAACAAATAAACAACTATTACTTGCCCTTCAGCTGGCAATCCCTGAGTCTTTTCACCTGTGCTTGAGAAGTCGTCAAACAGGAAGAAAGGACTTCTTGACAGATTTGGTGAGTCCCAAATTATTTTGTTTGGTTCGTTGAAGAAATAATTTTCTTACTAATTTATGAAACATTTATAACTGTTTTGCCATAATCATCATCCAATGATAATTAGATATTCCTGTTATCATTAACGTTAGTAAATAATGACTGAATTTTGAGCGAATGTTTTGATTTGATTGATTTGTTTGTTTGATTTGATTGTTCAGTTGTAACTCTGAAAATGAACTAAGGTAGTTTTGAACATAATCTTGAACAAAGAAGAGGATCTCTCAATGGAACGTGTATTAATTAAGTGAACTCAATTACTGAGAATTAAAATGCCATGACAAAAATTCCAATGTTCTCACATAGTGTCACTCTGTCCCTTGCTCCCTCCCAGCCAGGATGTTGTAGTCAGGAGAACTTACAGCTCTGCTGTGTACTGGGGAATATGGTCTGGGATTTTGTTGAGTTTTTGATTGGAGCAATCTACTGTGGTCCCCTCACAGCGACACTTTTCAGGACAAGCCAAGTCTGCAAAGCAGTCTCCACTTAATTTTGATCGATAATCTTCTGTGCCTATTGAGGATTCAAGCCAAAGATAAAATTCTGAGTTGAATGTTAGAATAGTCATTAATATATACAGGGAGAAAAGAAGGAGGGTAACTATAGATTATGCAGCAGGGAGACAACTTAGGGAACTTTGGTCAATGGATGTCAGGAGAGGATTAAAAGAAAGGCTTGGAGTTTTCTGGAAAAAAAGAGTGACCAGATTCACATGACAGGAAAACATTAATAAAGTTGAGCTTTCACAGCTGTACGTTCTGCTGATCCAGTTCGGAGCCATGCTAGTCTGATTCACAGCTAATCACACAATGGCTATGAATTGTTAACCGAGTTCATTTTTTTTTCTGAGTCAAAAATTGAAAACATATCTAGTAATAAGCATCCGCCTGTATGTTACTGTAAAGTAGGGCTTTTAAGGAAAATCGGTATACTTAGGTTTTAAGTTTTTCCATGGACTTTTATTATTCTCTCCCTCTCACATAATCTTCAAAAACACCCCCAAAGCCCTCTTTTTGCTTTTTGTTTTTTTTTCATTTTGACTCTATAAAAAAGCCACGTAAGTCCTGCCTTGAGCCTCAGCAGCTTGCCATGCTGTAGAAAGCTGCGTGACGTTCCATGGTGCTTGACGGAACCATGTTTTACTCATACCTCGCAACCACATGGTTAGATCAAGCACAACAGAAAATCTCGCTCCATTATCACTACACCAACCACTAGGCCAGAGGGAAGACCGAGAGGAAAGACGAAGGGAGGAGGAAAGCTACGGACGATCTGGAAGCATCATACTGTTAACATGACATGCATTCTTCCCGTAGAATCAGAGAGAGACCATGACTACCGAAGGGTGCCTGGAAACACAAAGAAGGGGCTATATGGAAAGGTGCCTCCCGAGTTCCTCAGAACTGCAGAGTGGAAACCACAGCTTTTGGGAAGAACATCCAGGAAGAAGTTGAAGGTAAGCTACAGGGACAACAGAGAAGCTCAAGAGATTTGTGGTTTCTTCACGGAAAATAGGCGCAAAACATCAAGACTAGAAGAAGGTACATCGGGGATTGAAAAGCGGGTGTGTTACATTTCAAATTGGACGCGTTTACTTACAAGCCAAATGGTGAATTCCTGCAAAAGAAAAGATCACCAAGGAGGAAAGAAAGACAGAATCATCCCAGTTAAGGTTAATAGACACATATATACCAAACTATGTTCTCTTCCTTGTTTCTATGCAACTTCAGACATGGGATTGCATTGTGTGATGTGTTTGTCATGCTTTGCAAAATTGATAGCACTTTTGAAGTATAACCGCTTACAGAAAATGCAATGACATAAAAGATGTACAGTAAAAATTAAATGTTTGTGGGTTCCCTTAATGGTTGAACTGTCTGTGAGACAGAATTGTTTTTATTGTTTTAGCATCAGAATGTCTATGAATGCACCTATAAAATGAATGAAAAGCCAGTGATGGAAAGAAGGGCTATAGATAGAGTATATACATTAAAAGTTAGGCGGTAGGTCGCATGCTTCTAAATGACCTCCAAGCTTTAAAGTTTATCACTCGATTGGAACATAATCAGAATTCCAACAAAATGTTGAAATACCAAATATAACAACATTTAGGTGTCACATTCCATTACAACAATAAGTGCCCTCCTATTTGTTGAAGAATCTGTTGTTTTATTTTTTTCTGTCTTTGGAGACCAAGCCATTAGAAAGCTAAAAGAATTCTGTTAAAAGTATCAATACAAGGTTCACTGAGTGCATTTCAAAAATATATAGTCAATGCAATGGCAATCAACAATGCTTACTTAAAAAACATTTATTAGATAGATACAAATCTTAATTAGTATTCGAGGTGGAAAAAAGAGCAAAATCAGGACCAGGTAGTCTATGTGCCACGACGTCCACATGTAATTTTAAAATGCAAACTCAGTTATCAAAGCATGAGAATCAAGATATGATCTTTGATATAGAAGTTATTTCCTAAAAAATATCTGGGCTCTTATTTTCTATTTATTTCTTATTTTCTTCTAGCAGAAGCAGAAAACATAACTTTCACAATGTGATTTTTTTTATTGCATCGAGTTGTACTGGTACTTTTGTGTTCAAATTCTTAAGAAACTGAATTAAATGATTTGGATAATTATTAGATGAATTGCCATAATATTGGGATTCAAATCATATTGGTGTGCTATCCTATGCACAGTCTGGTTTTCAAAGTATTCCTTTTTCCAGTTGAATCTCGACTGTCTGGTGACTTTGCACTTAGTTGGCTAAAAATAACAAAATTTATACACTGATGATGAAGACCAATCAATTGCTGTTTTCAGCACATTTTTGGTTATACATACAAGATACAATATGTAGACTATTAATTGAACATTGAAATTCAAATTAAGCAATTTACTTAAATCTAGTAAATATATACAATTAATTAAATGCTAAGAGTAAGGAATAAATACATCCTCAACATCAGTCAGTACTTTGTAAATATTTTACTATACAGTGTTTTAAAGCAAACAAGTCAAGATGAATTTATACACTTGGCAGGCAAGAATAAAGTAAGTAAGGGACACATTTTAAAGAGCTAGCTCTAGACTCATCAGTTTGGAGGTGTTTGTTGGCAGCAAAGGGATGAAACATTGCAATTGAATCTGTAGAAACATGTTCTCCTTCTGCTTAGATTATTCAAGGCATTTAGTTCCCATTAGCTGCTAATGACTTCAAGATGGATGTGAATATCCCCTTTTGTAGAGTAATAATCTAACTCCAGACAGGCAAGAACGTATAATTACAAGTAAATTAATAATAAAAAACAAGTGCAGCTAGATCAGCACGGAACAGCTGTTTTATATTTAAAAAACAAATGTAAGCAAAAAGTATTCTTTTCAAATCAAGAAGCTTTTAAAAAGTGACTTTTTTTGTCGAAAATGCAATTCTGCATGTTTATACCTGATTTTATATAGAACTAGCTCTTTGACAATAGAGAAGCTGCTGTCTTTAAAACTAGCCTAGTAAGCTACATTTTAAAAACAGGCTGAAAGATTAAATATTCAATGGAGGGGGGAACATGATTTAAGTAGTAAGCCATAGGTTCAAATACTTTGGCTAATGTGAGAAACTGCAGATCATGTGCAAAGGGGTAAGGGAAAGGAGAGAATGTGGGCTTTTATTTCAATAGAGTTTCAACATCAGAAGCTGCATGCAGAGGTAGGTCTTTCAGGATACAGCGACAAGTGATCTAAGCGTAAGTCAATCTATCTATGGAGTGTTCACTGTGCTCCCAAAAGCATGCACATTAATGTTTAGAAGCTATATAAGTCGAGGACAGGGTGTCTGCAGTTAGTCCTACCACCGAGCAAAAACCTACCTGGAATGAAATACTGTTCTTTAGCTAAATAAAAAAAAGAGAGAGAGAGAAAAAAATAGAAGATGTACCTGAATGTCAGCAAGCAGAGATATGAGTTATATTAGATTAAGAATGGGCTAAAGTTATCACAGATAACTAAGTGACAAAGTGTATTCCCAGAAGTAAAACAATACACAGTGAGTGACAAACTTACAAAGAAGGACAATCACAAATCTAGTTTTCATATTAGATGTTTAACATGAGTTAACCACACAGTGGGAAATGTGCCCAGAAGAGTTAGGTAGCACACTCCTCAGATGAAAGCAAAGGTTTCCTAGCACCAGAAAACATATAACACTAGACCATCACGAACAATGGAGTAAGCTTCCCAGTTAACGGTTACACAAGGGTTTTTGTTGGGTAAATGCAGTTTTTCCCACATGTGAAAAGATAGTCTCAAAAAAAAAATGTGGCTTCACAGTGTATCATAGAAAGAAATGAGGCATCAGGAGACTCCTACCCTCTACTTCTGAGTTTGAAAAAAAAACAAACAAACATGTAATCACGTCTTATTTTGCTCTGTGAATAAATGAGAGAATGTCTGACTATTTGATGCTGATCAGTGGAGACCAGTACAACAAACAGAAGAAGTAACACTGCTTTTTTTAAAAACTGTATTTTAAGTTATCTGAAAGGTCCTGGTTACATCCAAACCCTAAGACATACGATGAGGGATCCAGACATTTTTTTCATTTGATTGATAATCATTTTCCTGGCTATATTATTTGGGTTGCATCAATATTTCTCCTGATTTCCCCCTCCCCAGACAGAAGAAAAAAAAAAAGGAGATTGCACAATGCTTGCTAATCAAGCGAAGGCAGCTGCTGTTGCTAATTCTCAAGTAACCACAGCCTTCGGTCCTAAAGAAATGTCTCACGAAGTGAGAAATTACCTGAACAACGAAACTTCTTGCTTTTGATCTGTCCAATTCTTTTGTTAGCCAGGCGGCGGGGGCTGGTGCAACGGGCACCGCTGGTCTCAATTGGGTTGGTGTGGAGATAATCCGCTAGCCACTTGAGATGGCAGTCACAAATGAAAGGGTTCTGGGCCAAATGCCTTTCAGAAACACAGCAGAAGAGTTTTACACATGACTTGCGTATGACTTGGCTCTCACATTCACAGTGAAAGTAATCATCATTATACTTGGTTCAAATTGAGCATACATACATAGTTTGGATGGCTCTGAGAGCTGAGAAGGTGCCCTTGGCAAGAGTCTGAAGTTTGTTGTCATATAACGAGAGAAGGTTCAAGTTGTGCAGGTCCTGAAAAGCATCTACCCGAAGGCAGTTTATCTTGTTGGCATTCAATAATCTGTTTGATCAAACAGTCATAAAATTAAAGTGCAGCATCTCATTAATTCACCTGTAATATAGCCCTTCTGGAGGAAACCCAATTAAGAGAAAGACATTTAATGTTAATATTAATGTTGTAAATTTAATAATAATGTAGGCACTATGAATGGGAGGTTAGGGGTTTACATTAAAAAATGAGAGTCAAATGGTAAAATGAACTGAAATCAAATGGTTCTCATAAATGCATTCAGTAAAAATGATCAGAAGATTACAAAGGATTACCTAGAAGTAAAGCCATAGACATAAGTAGAAGAGGCTTGTCTTCTCTTATCAAGATCAAATGAAAAACAATTTAAAACATTATTATTGTCTCCAGCCACTTGGGAGAAGTTCAGGCTCCTTCTAAAACAGCAACCACAGTGGTCCTTTATGACATACCTACTCAGACCATGCAGCACCTATGGTCTGAGTAAGACTCTAGACAGAGAACAGCCTTAAAAATTAATATAAAAATGGTCTATAGCTCACTCTTGGGACTCCACAGCTTTACTCAGTCCCCTGCCCTTTCCCCTGCGGCTACTCCAGTTGATACCTTGTTTTTTTCCATTAAGATCAGATTTTTTTGTCCTCTATGCAGAAATTTCTCCCAGATCTGTGGCTTGCTAGTCACATTGCTTTTCTGGATTCTTCAAGACATAAATGTGTTACTCTTCAACCCTAACTAATTCATATATTTTTTAGGTTTCTGTCGCTTTCCAAACCCTAGTTCTTTCAATTGGCTATATTTGGTCTATTTTTCTATTTTCGATATATATATATACATATATATATCGTTATCATATATGTATCATATATACATATATATATCACATATTAATATATATAATGCATAAAAGTAATGTCTTTTGTAGCTATTGATGCTACCAATGACTGTCATCTGTACCCAGGATGTCATGGGTATTTTTCTATTTTGTTCCCTCATATTTCACACACCCCTAGTACATACTACATGCTCCAATATATCTGCTGTGACATGACGACATAATATTGCTCTTAGATCAAAGGTTGCACTGCCACATTCAAAGCTGTAGTTGCAGTATAAACACCCACCTAACACAATAACCTACAATCTCACTCTTCCCCTAGGTTACATCAATAAACTGTGAAGGATGCTTTAGAGATCATACACTGGCAGGCATCACTCATGTAGGATAAATACGATGATTATATGTGACCGTGTCTTACCACTGGTGCCATGCATGCTTTCCAGAATACAATTGCTACCTAAGCATGGGTTGTTCTCTCCATGACTCTTCCTAAGCACAGTAGGTAGGTAATGCAACACGGTCTCATTACCTGTTTCTAGTTGAGTGCCACATTCCTCCGAATACAGCTCAGCCATTTCTGCAGTACTTGTTCAATGTTCTCTGTCTCTACCTTTTTATTTTATTTAGAGCCTTAAAACACTTAATAGCTCAAAATTGCCTGCTATGTGGTTTGGGTAATTCTCATTATGTAACATAATGAGTATGTTTTCTCATTAGACAATGGTAAACTGTTTACAACTAACAAAGATTTAGATTTTGCTTTTTGCATTCTTTATAAATATCTGAGGCTGTATTCGTCTCCTGATAATCTTGTTTTCTGTACTTTGTGTTCTCCCATCAGGAGCTGAAGTTTTAAGTTTCTCTATGGTGCATCTAAAACTTATTTAAAGTCCTGGACTTTTTTTTAAATTTCTGTTTGGTGAGTTCAAGGTCTACCTACCATTCCATTCTTGGCAGTAAGTAATACAAGCAATGCTGGAAATGTTCCTTCATTCATATGCTGACTGAATAAAGAAGTTTGACAACAAATATTTAAGATGAGGAAACAGAGGTAGTTCTGAAGAAGCTAAAAGAAGTTGTTTTGTGAGAGGTTGGTGCTTATTTTAAAACAGTATGATGTTAAGAACAAAGAACTTCATAGAAAAGAATGTGGGAAGCACACTTGAACGCATTGGTACAGGAGACCACTTCCTAAATATAACCCCAGAAGCATAGACACTGAGAGAAACAATTAATAAATGAGACCCCTTGAAACTGAAAAGCTTCTTTAAAGTAAGGGACATGGTCAACAAGACAAAACGGCAGCCTACAGAATGGGAAAATATCTTCACCAACCCCACATCAGACAGAGGTTTGATCTCCAAAGTATACAAAGAACTCGAGAAATTGGTCATCAAAAGAACAAATAATTTAATAAATAATGGAGTACAGACCTAAACAGAAAACTCTCAACAGAGGAATCTAAATGGCTGAAAAACACTTAAGGAAATGCTCAACATCTTTAGTCGTCAGAGAAATGTAAGTAAAAACAACTCTGATATTCCATTTTATATCTTTAAGAATGGCCAAGATCAAAAACCCTGATGACAACTTATGCTGGAGCAGTTGTGGGATAAAGGGAACACTCCTGCATTGCTGGTGTGAGTGCAAGCTGGTATAGCCCCTTGGGATATCAGTATGGTGATTTCTCAGAAAATTAGGAAACAACCTTCCTCAAGACCCAATAATACCACTTTTGGATATATATACAAAGAATGCTCAATCATGCCATAAGGACATGTGCTCAACTATGTTTATAGCACCATTGTTTGTCATAGGCAGAGCCTGGAAACAACCCAAATGCCCTTTGAATGAAGAATGGATTAGGAAAATGTGGTACATATACACAATAGAGTGCTACACAGCAGAAAAAAAATAACGACATCTTTAATTTTGCAGGTAAATGGATGGAGCTAGAAAGCATCATTTTGAGTGAGGGTACCCAGACCCAGAAAGACAATTATCATATGTACTCACTCATTAGTAGTTTTATGGGATGTTTATCACTACATAACCTCTCCACAGTGGGGCAGCCAGAACACAATCATTCATTTTATTGTGATAAACATTCCTGGATAATTCTAAAGAGTTTTTTTTCACATAAATAGCTATGATCAACTTTAGCAATCATTTTTGTCACATTAAGTTGGGCCATTTTGGGTTAAAGCCTCCAGATAATTAAGAGATGGTGTATTAAAAAAACTTTAAGTTCTATATATTCATAGCAATGAAATACTTACAGTAGTTGTAAGGAAAATAGTCCTTCAAATAAACTTTTTGGGAGTTCAGTGATTTTATTTCCATACAGGACACTGAAACAATGATATAACAATTAGAATGATACAAGCCTGGCTAGTTCTTATATGTGCGTGCGCGCGCACACACACACAGACACACACACATACACACACACACACACACTTAGGGAGATTAGTAAGCACTTAACATATTATAGCATCCATATGAAAATTGAATAACATAAAAACTGTCTGATTATCGATAATATACAAGCCTACTGTACATAATTTGGACTTCATCGAATACAAAACAATTTACAATTTATTTGACTTTTCTGAAAACAATCCTTGTCAAACCGTAATGTTTTCTACAAATAACACCCTACTTATATGCATGCACATAACTTGTAGGCAATCAGAGCACAATGTATGCAGAAAATAATATCAGTATCGAAACTCTTGCTCATTAAATGAGTGATTTCATGCTCAAAACACTGCTGTAAAAGTAGAACCAGATATAAGGGCAGGGACTTCGAAAACAAAAGGTACAAGACTTATGTATGAGGAACATTAGATCTTAGAGAATAATGATTATGAATCGAATTAAAAACATTTCAAGTGTATATTTCCCCTCCCACAAGTGTGAAGCGGAACGAACCGCGAAGATCCTGACATCTGATTGCACATCAAGTGAAGATATTAAGGAGAAAGGACCTGGACTTAATCACATCAGGACATCTGCCACCTAGCACATCTGTTAGTACACAGTGACGTTCTGGTACTGGATTGACAAGTGAAACGATGATAAATTAGCTGAGAATAATGAAGGAATATATTTCCAAGCGGGGTGAAACAATGGTGTAAAAAGTAAATGAGCCGAACGGAAGTGATTGAAAGATCATGTAAGTGTTAAAAATAGGTTCCCAATAATTTCTATTACAGCAATTGGAGTGAAAGAAAAATGTGTAGCAATTATTGGGGCCATTTGACTGATTATATAAAAATCATAGACATATTTACATAAGTTTTATGGATATATCATAAGACACTCTAAGAATTTCTGGTTAAGAAAATAACCCAGATAACACACACACACACACACACACACTATATATATATATATATAT